TTCCTAACGTCATCACACGTACAATGAATGTAGATTACCTCTTTTTGATGTGGGCAATCAGTTCTCTTAGTGAGTCAGTTTCAAGACATCTTCATTACTCTTTTTATCTGTCCAGGGTATTCTCATCATTAGTCTATAAAACCACATCTCCGCAGCTTCCAAAAAAGTTTTCACTAATTTACTAGCTGTCTATGATTCACATCGGTGTATAATATTGGATTTACATAGCTTTTAAAAATTCTCTTAATAACTTGTGTAAAACCGCTGGTTCAATAAAGGATTTATTTTCAAGAAATTCATGGTTCATGCTATTTTTGAATAAACCTTTTCAGGGCCAAGGGGTTAATTTTCCAAGAATGTATGATTCAGATCTGTCTACCAAAATCCCTGGACAGTTTTTTTATTCATCTAATGCAAACTGACAAGAAAGATTAAAAAATAATGTGTTATAAAAACAGAATAACAATGATCACAAAAATAACAATTAAATAAAATGCATGCATCCATCAGATAAATTCTTCAAGCATGCCAAGAACAAGAATTCTTCAACCTTAGAAAGAGCATGAAAGATTATATAATTACATATTTAACTTACATGTATTCACATAAGATACATTACCAAGAAGTTTAAAAAATTTGCATATTAGATCTGAGTAACAGATAACATGTTAATTAAAAATCAACAGAACTGTCAACTTTAACCTTTTCATGACCACTGGACACAGGCGTCCTACAAATTCTTGAAATAACAACTTTAACCTTTCATGACCATTGGACACAGGTGTCAAAACTAAAGACTCTAACCCTTTCATGAACACTGGACACATGTGCCTTACAAATTCTCAAAATAACCATTTCAACCTTTCATGACCATTGTATACAGGTGTACAAAAAATTCTATAAATCCTAAGAATTTTGTTGAGGTCACGAAAAGTTAAATCAGAGTATTTGTAAAGTCTCACTAGGCTTTGTATATAGAATAAATGTGAAAAACAAAGTATATGATGTCATCAAAAAAATGTGCTCCACAGTCAACCATGAAACAATATGTAGTGAATGACTGTTGTCTGCTGGAGTAATTCTTTGCACTCTAAACAGACTGGTGTTGTAAATGGAAGAAAGAATTTGCTGGGTTGAACAAGTTTTTTTTTCTTCTCCAAAATGGTGGTCGACATACATAGATACTGTAGAAGGTATCTGAGTATCTGATAATTTAAAGAGATATGTAGTCATGTCTTGAAGCCAGTGGACATTTTAAACACCTGTTATAATGAATATTTGACTGCTACTTTCCAGCTTCTCCAAAACAGCATTAGACCATAGCAGTAACTATTGTTACTAAGTTAGTGACTTTTTTTGCACATGTTTTGATGATGTCATGCACTTGGTTTAAAAAAATTTCTTCTGCATACAAAGTGTGGTACTTTACAAACACCCTATTGGTTATTGTCAATTTTAGAAAAGGCAGACAGACCAATCAGAAATACCTGTCAAACCTTATGAATCTTGAACAATGATTTTGAAACCATAATTTAATTAGATTCATGGTAATGTTACAATTGGGATTTTTACTTTGCTGTTCAGACGGTACTTGCCAGTCATGACTATTTGTTTTTCCCATTAAATGAAACTGGTAGGTACGTTTTTTTGGGTGGCCATTTCATGCATTTTCCAAGGCAAACATATCACTGTAGGTAACATGTGTAAAGATCTTCTATCTCTTTATCACAAATGTTTCCATTATATCACATCAATCCTTCTATTATGCAAAGAAAAAACAACCAAACACTATCTTACACAATGATACATTTATATAAACTATCATCAGACTGGCTCTAAAACTGGCTTATAAATAATTAGACATAGAAGCAAATATTCACAACAGGAGAGCTGAAACTTGGGTGTGCAGGCACACCCATCCCCAAATGAAGCTCTTTAGGGGTCAGCTGAGCCCCTCCCTCTCCCAACCACTCAATTTTCTAGAGAATTTTCAAGGTCTAAATGCCACCCCCCCCCCCCCCCCCCCCCCCACCCCCCCCCCCCCCCCCCCCCCCCCCCCCCCCCCCCCCCCCCCCCCCCCCCCCCCCCCCCCCCCCCCCCCATGTACTGATTGATGTTTCCTTTCAAGTACTTCTTTGTACATTTTATTTTATTTTAAATATATTTTTTTCTGTTCAGCACAGAATAATAATTACTACTATATAAGCTCCCCTTGGAAGATGTATGGAGTAGGGAGGGGTAGTGGCGCCCCCTTTCAAAAGTTTCTACTGTGTCAGCTCCCTGTTTCAGGAAGGTTCTCTCCAATGGCCATTACATTTCTCTTATTTCTTCTGAGTAGCTACAAACCTGCAGCTAGCATCATTATCATGTGCCGTACAGACTGTCATGGACGCTCATGCTTCTTCACCATTGGTGACAACCAAAAGTGTGTATTAATTTGTGAGTTGACACTTTCATGCCATAACTAAAAGGCTGCCAAGAATCTACTCTTGCTGTCTTCCTCTATCCCTCTTTCCATAATTATTTCCAGTTGTCATGTGTTCACAATCTGCTCGTCTTACGAGGTCACAAAATTATGACTGCCTCTTTCTGACCTTTCGGATAAGCTGTCTTCAGATCTGAGCCCTTTTCAAAACATCTAGACTGCTCATTTTGACTATTCGTGGAATTAAGCGTTCGACTGCTGATAAGTTATACTATGAGTCATGAACCATGGGATATTCCCATAAGTGCTCAGTCACCATCTTCAACAGCAATCGCTGAGTTTCAATTCTAATGGTACCAGTAACATTCTGATTGTCTTCTTCTGCTTCTTCTTTGCATTCACCAGCTGTAAACTCAGGTGGAAAGTTCTGGTTGTTTGTCCACTGCAGCCCTGCTCCAGAACCTGAGTGATGCGTTTGCATCTGTTTGACAGATCTGACTCATACGTGTGCAGAATGTTGATTCCTTGCCTCTATGGCAGATGCACTCTGACTTCGAAGGAAAGTCTGATTATATCTGTCTTGCCCCTCCCCTGAGTGTCGACCAAATTCCCTGGTTACTCCCAAAAGCATCATTCTTCTTAGACCGTAACGACTTATTTGTACCTCCACACTTTTTACTCACTCCTGAAGGGCCCTTATAACATCTAGCTTGTCATACATCAATTTACCACCAACTGATGCAGAACCAGCCGATCTATCTGCCTGTTATGTTAAAAATGTACCTTCACAAACATAACTTACACTTCATAGCAGTTAAGTCATATGCTACCTTAAAATTGCAACTGGTACGCTGTGTTGCAGTTTACAGCTCAGCCTATATAGGTCTATGCTCGGCCCTTCAAGTCCAACACATCCAATTTCCACAACACACTTTGTTAGTCCCATTTAGCAACATACTGAAAAGAGGCAGTGGTTTTAATCTTCTCCCCCTATAAAATGGGGTCCCAGAGCCAACACGGGGATATGTTTCATGTGTTTGTTAATGATTTATTCTTTAATGGAAGACATGTTAACTTTGGAGTTAAAACAGAGCAAACAGCATCTAAAAATAGGGCAAAAGGTGGAAAAAGAATGAATGAAAAAAAAAGAAGGAAAAAAAATCACTCAGTGGGATATTTTGTTCAGTATATTTCTTTAATGACTATTTTCAATAACAATTAATAAAAAAAAGTAAAGATCATTTCTCACCCATTTAGGCGTATCGGGCATATGGGAAGAGCATCCCATATTTTTACAGACCATCAGCACTAGGTGGGTAATGTGATCAGAATTACGCCGGCCGTTTTTACTTCCACAGGACAGCCATCCTGGTACCCATTTTAGACTGGGTTGACCTGTGATGTCCCACACCATAATAGAAGTCCACGGAGCCAGCAGTGGGTTTTGATCGCGGTACGTTGGAATTACGAGTCAGACTCGCAACACCTAAGCCACAGACACTGCACAATAATAATTATTGAACTGTTTTTTTTTAATTATTATTATTTTTATTGTTTAAAAAAAAAATTTTGGGGGGGGGGGGGGGGAACTGACCAATTAATGTTAGCCTAATTTATTTTACGAACATGTTTACTGCCAGCTGTTACGAGGTGACTGGTACCACTAGTAAAACTAATAACTGAAAGGATGGTGAAGAAGCAAACAATAAAACCATTACAGCAAACAGAATTGTACCGCCAAAACTCCAATTTTAAATGATCATCTACTGTAAAACTGAGAAATTCATAAGAAGTTCATTTGAACAGGCCTTCTTTCTTGCCAAGCCAGCTCTTGAAATCGGCTTAACAAAATCAATATTTCTGTTACAATTTTTTAGTATCACAAGTGAGGGGTAATATTCGCTGTTCTTTCACTCCCTAATCGCTTTGGGAAACATTTAAACTTTAATAATACAACAGTACGCAACATCCTCACAATCTTAACATGCCAATGCTGCAATCAGCGCGTATGTCAAACTGTTATAATAATACATGATGTTCAACATATTTGTGGGTTCTTTTCTGCTTAGCGACGCCATCACACGAGATTTAGGGACATCCCATTTTACAGGGGGGTTAGGGTTTCTGTTAAATGAATGGCGACTACTACTAACCCTAACCGCCCGAAATCTCAAGTGATGTGATTGCTGAACAGAAAAGAAACCATTTTTGCCTGGCTCTTGAATATAACAGTAATGATGAGGTCTGTTACACTTAAATAAACTGTATTAAGTTAATGCAAACAATATTTTTTGCAGATATATACTGGACAGTAATGAAGTATCTTAACATGAATATGTACACTTGGAATGTATTAATGCAAATGTCAACAAAGCCAATTTCTGCTGCTGTGATGAACCACACAATTTTGGTTTTCATTTGACTGCTTTCAATGACTGAAAGAAATTTGAATAAATCTGGCAAGACGTTTATTCCATAAGCTTCTCAAAGAACATCTATGGTCACTAGTTATATAATCAACAGATCAGCAGATTACTACCAGAAGTCAAAGACTTTTCATTTCATTTGAATATGTTCAGATGTCTGTCTCTTCACCCTTGATGTGAACACGTTTGCCCCCTGGATTCATGCTGACTTTTCGCGACTGAGAGGTTGTTGATGATCCACTGTCCATCGAGTCACTTGTGCGCTCACTTCTGGTTCTTTTTGAACTCTCAGAGCGGGCTCGTCTCCCGCTGCTGCGATTTTTGTTGCTTCTGTCATCAATAAAAACCTCCCCATACATGCGGCTGTTTTTGATCTTCTTCTTGTCAGGGGACTGGGACCTTCGGCTGTGACCAGACGACCCTGACCTGTGTGAACGGGCTCCAGATCTAGAACGTCTTCGCTCTATGACAGGCTTGTGCTTAACATTGGGCTGTTCCTTACCTTGATGGCCATAGCCATAAATTAAAGTATTTGCATCCAAGGAGGCATCAGTCGATGAAGTCTGTGAACGGTCAGGAGAATGTGTTCTAGTTTTTAGAATTCCATTAACGGGTTGTGTGTTCACTTGGCTCATTTCTATCGCTGTGCTCTTCTTCATAGCAGACTTCATAGGTTTCATACTGCTGCGCTGGCTTGCATCTCGCCGAGACATTCGTTTGCTCCCATTTGCATCTGCCACATCTCTCTCCTCCCACGAATTATCAACCTGTTCGCCGCGCCTATTGTCTTCAGCATCAAAGGCCTCATTTGTGAAGCCAGTTTTGCCGCGTGCTCTTCCAACTGAGGCTTGTCGTTCGTACTGTTTTTCCCCTGGTTCCTTGGTGTATGCGGGGTTAGCATAGGCGCCATTAGCTCTGTCCTGTGAAGAGGCTGAGCTTTTAATGTCTTCCATTGATCCATACTTCCCTTTTGGGTAGCGGGCATTTCCAGGTGCGAATATTGCTTGTGAGGTTCCTACCAGAAGAAATATAATTTTAATTAAATGTTATATGAATCAATTAGAATTAACATTCCTACGATCTTTTTGATTTATTTAACACATTAATGCCATTACTATATGTTCTTCAAAACGTTAATTTGTTTTAGCATATTAATAAGTAAGTAAATGACCTTTTTCCACGCCTCTAGACATTAAGGGCATCATATAGGGCTAGAGCTACATTTATTGACCAATGGCACAAGATGGGTGATGTGGTCAGCATCAAGCTGGCCACCTTTACTTCCTGGGACTGCAGCTGGTACCCACTCAAGGCTGGGTCAATCTCGGAGCCAAGGTCATTTCTGACAAAAGTCCGGCTCCGCCAGGGAGCAATTCCCTGACCTTCCGATCCGCGGCAAGCGTCTAGCCATTCTGCCGCGGCGACTCTCCTTTATCATATTATCTATTACTAAATTGTATTTGTTATTTTTAAACCTTTCAACACCATTACTTTGATTCTTAGACATGTTATGATTAGGAACGGATTCAAGAACTTGGTGACAGCTGCCATTAACAATAATATTGAATTGAAAATCGACATCACAGCAATTGGGACACTCCCATAAGTGCTCCATTCCCCATCTTCAGCAGTAAGCAAAGAGTTTCAATTCTGATGGCACCAGTAACTGTCTGACTGTGTATCCGTCTCACCTTTTGTTTGAGTGTTGAGCATCGGCCAGATCCCCTGGCAACTCCATGAACAACACAAAAAGGGAAAGAGCCAAAGAGACTTGCATAAGAGAAAAGGCTGGAATAACAAGTTTGTTCATAAATCACACAGACGGACACAGAATTAAGTCACTGGCCATCTGGCAAGAATGCAGCCAGATCAAACTGTATACAAGACATTGTCAGAAAGAACATCGTGACGATGGGCAAGAGAAAGATTAAGAAGTGATGGATATGAGGCATAGCTAAAACCTGCATACAGATGAACAAATCCATTACTCAAGCCACTTCAGAAGTGCAAGACAAATACAAAAAAAACCCCCAAAAACTGGGCTATAACCTGGCAACTGTTTGACGACAAAAGAAGAACACATTTTCACTGTAACAACATTTTTGTTGTTTTTAATTCCACTTATTAATACCATTATTATAATTTATCTATTTTATTTAAGGGAGATGCCGTAGCGTAGCGGCTAGATGCTCGCGTGCGGATCGGAAGGTCGTGGGTTTGCTCCCTGGCGGAGCTGGACTTTTTTCAAAAATGACCTTGACTCCCAGGTCGACCCAGCCTTGAGTGGGTACCGGGCACAGTCCGGGGAAGTAAAGGCGGCCGGCATGATGCTGATCACACACATCACCCATCTTGTGCCGATTGGTGTATTACAATTTAGGTCTAGCCCTATATGCCTAAAGGCGTGGAAATTGGACCTTTACTTTACTTATTTTATTTAATATATTAATAAAAGATTACTGGAGTTTATTTTGCTGAAATTCAACACACACAATTCTAATGTCTTGTCTTCCTCATCTTTCTGAATAAATCTTTCCAGATCTCACGTGGTCCACTGTTTCTCCTTCTCATATTGTGGGGTTCTTCTTCTTCATCAAATTCACTAGCTGTAAACTCTAGCAGAAAGTTACAGTTGTTTGTCCACTTCTGGTCCCAGTAACTTGAGTTCATGAGTTCATGGATGCACATCTGTTTTACAGAATTGGCTTATATGTATGCAGACTGTTGCCTCCATACCTTTCAGGCAGGAAATACCCCTAGTTTACTTGTATGACCCTCTTGTTAGAAAAAGGGGGGGGGGGGGAGGCAGTGGGTCTATCCCCACCCCCCAAAATGAGCCCAGGAACCTAGAGGCAAATGTGGTCAAAGATGACATCACACAAACAATCATATTAAGCATACAGGATGTGACATCACACACACACACACAAACACACATATAATAGGAATACACAGACACAACATGACATTACACACACACAGGACAGGATATCACATACACATAACATTATATATATATACACACACACATATAAACACACGAAATGAAATGACACCACACATACACACATGACAGGATTACACATTCATGGCATGACATTAAACATCCATTATGTATACACTTACACATGAAAAGATACACACACATAACAGTACATCACACACACATGACATAACAAACACACACATAAAATGAGATTACACACACACATATGACATGTCAGGATTACACAGACACAACATGAAATAACACACATTATACACATGACAGGATATCACACACACAACAGGATACTACACACACATAACATCACATCACACACATGACATTATACACACACACACACACATGAATGACAAGATTACACAGACATGACATTTCATGCACAGTATACATGCACTTAACAGGATATCAAACACACATATGACATCATACACACACATGACGTTACACACACAGAGGACAGGGTTATACAGACATGACATGCACAGTATACATAAACATGACAGGAATTTCACATACGCATAACATTATATCACACAAACACACTTGATATTACACATACACGGCATTACACTCACAGTATACATAAACATGACAGGATATTACACACAGAGATGACAGGACATTACACACACATAACATGCCCTATACACACACACACATGACAGGATATTACACAAATGACATTACAGAAGCATTATATAAATACACACACATGACAGGATATTACACTACTTGTGCAGAAAAGAGGACATTAAAAAATTAACCCCCCCCAAAAAAACCGTATGGAAGAATACCTACTGTAGAGTTTGGGAAAGAAATGAACAAATTCTAGTGAATTTAAATAAAAGGTAAAGGTAAAGTCAGGAGATGTGAACCAGCGTCACTGCACATGGTTATAAACCATAAGTGCTCTGCCACCAGTACAGACAGCTGATAAGAAACTGTCTGCCTGTGTTGCCGTCTGCACGCAACTCCGTAGCTACAGCGACGTTCCTCCACTTACCCCATAGTGTTAACTCTGGTACCCATTACCTAGAGGCTGGGTGAACCCCATCAACACTGACCGTAGGCCGCAGCTGGATTTGAAAGCCAGTCTCCTATCTGCTGTGCTAACGCGGCCCCTAGTGAATTTAAATAATGAAGACACACACAATGAACTGCACAACCTACTGCCTGGCATATTTCACTGCATCAGGTGTGTTACTTCAGAGCACCACATCAACATATATTCAAGCATAAAAATGGATACTTTCCATTGAAACACACAAACCATATGGAAAGAATTCAAGTTTATATGTATATGTGTGTATGTGAACTGATGTAACTATGTGGCAATTCATGCAACAATGTACAGCAAATTGTGCCACACAATAAATTATGCACAACTATAAATTATGCACAGTGTTTTCCGTGTCTGCATTATTTAAACTCACCACACGAAAAAATTATTTTGTGATTCCAGTGAATCAGGAGGGGAGGAAAAGCTGATGGTATTGGATAGTAGCAGAATATTGAGATTACCCAATTACAATATGATTAGGATATTTTTGCAATGATATCCACAGGATCATGAAAATAAGGGTAGACCACAACAACAACAAACGCATGCACACACAGAGATAAAGTAATTAGTCAGGAAAGGAACTGATAGTCTGCATACAAATGAGTCAGACCAGTAAAATGGATGTGCACACAACATTCAGGTTCTGGAACATGACTGGAGTCAAGAAGTGGGGAACAACCAGAACTTTCTGCCGGAATTTACAGCCAGTGAACATGAAGAAGAGAAGAAGATATGGTAGCTCAGTGCCCTGAGGAGCGGCAGCAGCTAATCTATCAGCATGCTCATTATCATGCACAACAGAATGTCCTGGGCAGAAAATACTTGAACCTGATCTGAGTCTTATTAAATGAAGTGAACCACTCTGCTCTGTGAGTAGTACATTACAATTACATTACTCTCTAGCTATCAGAAAGCTGCAGTTACTGCCTCCACCTCCATTCTCATGCTTGAAGTAATGTTACATGTGTAATACCTGAACATAGTAACATATTCTATGTTCTAGAAAACAAAAAGACATATTGTGCTGTGAGAAACATACATGTTTTTAGTGTTCTAAGAAACAGAAAACTTTTAACCTGTTGTGATAAATATTTTAAATGGTTGGACAGAATCACTAAAATGGAGCTTTGGAAGAAAACTAAACAAATTCTGATGAACCAAGAAGTAGAAAGGATGCTGGTGTTGGATAGGACATACATTGAGACAAGTTGAGAATATAACTAGAATGTCTTTGTAATGGAACTCACAGGGACATAGAAATAAAAAAGACTTAAAGAGAGTAGTTTAAAAGATGGGGAGGACATGAGCTGCATGCGACAGTAAAGGACAGGATGGCTTGTGTGAGGTGGTTGGAAGCCTATGCTCCAATGGAAGATAAGGGGTAGAAGAAGAAGAGGCTAAATGAAAATATTAATCCCCTGCTTCAGAAACACAACAAGTGCAATATTAATTTTACTAAAACATGTATTAAACAGACTAAAGATGACTGGCAAATCAGGGCACACACATGTAAAATGCAGGGGTACTCACCTAAATCATTCTTTATCCTCATCCCAAATGAGAAAGCCGCAAACTCTGGGATAATTTTCCGGATGTTCAGCCGAAGAACATTTAGATTTGTTTTCCCATGAATGGGAATTTTATTATCTTTACAGGTGACTGTTTCCTGCAAATATTATTTTTTTTTTAATGTTTTAACGAGACAGTTATCCAAGACAAATCTCATATACAAAAGCATAATTATATTTCTAGGGGCCGCGTTAGCACAGTCGATAAGAGGCTTGCTTTCAAATCCAGCTGCCACACGCTGCAGCTCACGGTCGGTGTTCGAAAGAATTCTTTGAATTTCAAGAACCCAGAAGAATAGAAATATTGACATCCTAAAGGTTCTGAACATCAAGAAAAATTGACTCATAAACAACATAGTCTCTGTAGCTGATATACTCTAGCCATGTTAACCACAAGGTGGACTGGAAAGAACAGCAAGGGGCCGACCTGCATGAAAATAAGCACAGGATATAAGAGACACCTTAGGCTGGAGAGTACATGAGCAAGGAGAGCTGGAGAGGGACTGAGTTCCTATCAGGCCTGCTGTGATGGGAGAAATATTCTGTACAGGACCTGAGTTGAGTTATTCAAGAATCAACATTACAGCACTTAGGAAATTTCCATTAAGTCCCCAACTTCGACAGCCAGTGCACTGTTCCAAAACCAATGGTGCCAGCAGCGATCTGATTCGTCTTGCCTTTCCTCTGAGCGTTCAATATTGGCCAGATCCACTCGTCACTCCCCACTTCATCACGCTCACCAGACTGGTAATCGATTTGCTCCTCTAAATTGTACACCTTCTCCAATAAGGGCTTGACCATATCTGCATTATCATGCATCAATATTCAACCCAGTTGTGCAGAGCCAGCCCGTCTGTCTGCCTGTTCATTTCCCAACAGATCGGCATACCTGGAGAAAAGATCCAGTCAATGCTCCTCACCTATGAACTCTGAAGTGAAGCATGCCACTCTGCACGAAGCATGCCTGTTCTCACGTACCTCAGCATGAGTTCTGAGTCAGTTACAATTATGATGTGTGTGTGTGTGTTCTCTAACCAATGGACAGCTGCAGTGACCGCCTCCACCTCCATTCTTAAACTGGATGTTGTGGTATCATATGCTAGGCTCTCATGCCCCTAACGTCGACCATTAACTTTTGCTAAGAACCCCCAAGCACTTCTTTTGCCTCTTGACACTGAACTGTCAGTATAAATAATCATATTACCCAAGCGAGCATTATCTTGTTGTGTCTGCTGCCTGAACCATACATGACTTCACTCTTATCAGCCACTGACCTTTAACTGCCTTCAGAGCTTCGCTCAAAGGCTATCCATGTGCATACCCACCAGGAGAGTGTCTCTGGTACAGCCCAGAATTACCCACATAGCTGCATTCTGTATGCGCTTTAGTTTAACTATCTGACTCTTTGAGACAGGAAACGGACCAAGACCATAATTAATCACTGAAATGATCAAGTTCTGATATAGTGTGAAAAGCATTTGCAGCCATATTCTTAAGTGCACTGTCTTTTTTGGCATTTCATCACAACCATCTCTACTTGGTCCTTGAAGGACAGGCTCCTGTTGAAATGTGATTCCCAAATACTTCTAAAGCACTTCTACTTTTAAAGGACCTGATATATATATATATATAATAAAGAAAAATCCCCATGTGGTTTCCGGGGCCCTGTTATAGGAAAAACAAGAATAGACCCACTGCCTACCCAAAAGCATGTCGTAAGAGTCGACTAATTGGGAGCTTCCTTCAGAGTAGAAGTGCATCTGCCTGAGAGGCAAGGAACCAGCAGTCTGCATTCAGATTAGTCAGATATGTCAAACAGATGCACATGCAACACTCAAGTTCTGGAACAGGACTGCAGTCCAGAAGTGAACGAACAACCAGAACTTCTCGCCAGAGTTTACAGCTGGTGAACGCAAAGAAGAAGAAGAATGATAATTAACAACATGGAATGAAAGTTAAAAGCATTCTGAAACAAATTTCTGAGGAGACTGATAAACATTAAATGGAATGAATGAAAGGTCTGTGGTAAAAGAAAATCATAACCATGTTTGTGACAACATGGAATGCTGAGTGAATTATAACATTTTAAATGCTGAATTACATACAAAGACAGCAAATCAAATGGCTTGCCTAGTTACAGAGAATGCCTTGTATAAGTTGCATACAAGATATATACTGAAAGAGGAGAAGGACACAGAGCACAAGGTAGACTAAGAATAATGTGGAAAGATAACATCAGAGAATCTCTATAACACCATGCGTCTTTAGTCGAGACAGCCAGAAGATCAAGAAGCAAAACTTTATGTCTCCCTCCCTTGACACCCGACCTGGTAAAACAGTAAGTGAGGAAGAGAAGATAAAGAAAAACATTTGTGTAAATCTTGCTCTTAATAAAGAAAGAATACACATATTGAGATGTTTACAACCACCTTGTTTTAGTTTTTAAAACAATTACATTAATATTTACATGTTTAAATTATAAAACAGAAGCATAACCAACTCATTACATTATAATTATCAGACAACTTACAACTTTAGTTGTCTTATAAAAAAAACTTGGACCGCCACTCCACAGTTAGCAATCCTAACAAGCTAGTTGTGATCTCACTGTTAAAAAATATTATTTTAACATTTACATGTTTAAATTATAAAACTAAAGCATAACCAACTCATTACATTATAATTATCAGACAACTTACAACTTTAGTTGCATTATCGAAAACTTGAATCTCCACTCCACAGTTAGCAATACTGACAGTGTCGATTTTATACTCAAGTGTGCGGCCCAAGTCAGTTGTAATCTTCAAATCACATTCACTCTGCGTAGTAAATATGTTTGATTCAGAGGGAGCAAAAACATGAACAATGTCATCACCATTCTGGATACTGTAGTGCGCCAGCTGGTTGCAATCTAACAAATTAACTGTTGGAAGAAAGAAGAAATTTCTATTAGCAAATGCTGATGTAACAAAGCTGCTTATAATGGTTAGAAAATTTCATATAAATGATAACGTGTTTAACTCCTAATGTTGTAACTGAGATATAGTTTCTAAAGCATATACTCTAGCTATATCATATTATAAATATATATCACACAATCATTTTGTAATAATTATAATAGGTTTACTAATGAAATAAGAACTATTCTACTGTTCATTGCAGTGATGTACAGACCAAGTGTAAATCAATAGAGGCCAACCAGGTAAACAATGGAAAGATGAACCCTATGGGTTTCGGTGAATTCCTAAACAAAAGGGAGCTTCAAATGAAAGCCTTAATAGTGTGAGAGAAATTATAATGAACATGCGATTGTCTTGTAACCTATCAGTTCGTAAACACAAATTTCACACAGAATGAATGTAAGTGGTGTTTTTTTAGGTCACACTTCCATGTGTAATATCTGGAGCCCCATTATGGGGTTGAGGGGAAGAAAAGTAGACCCACTCTAACCCCAACAAGCAGGTCTAAGAGTTGACTAATAAGGGATTTCCTTTAAAGTCAGAGTGCATCTTCCTGAGAGGCAAAAAAGCAACTTTCTGCATACAAATAAGCCAGATCTGTGACACAGATGTTCACGCAAAACTCAAGTTCTGGAGTAAGACTAAAGTACAGAAGTGGACTAGAAACCAGAACTTTCCACAGAGTTTACAGCCAGTGACCATGAACTACTAGTAGTAGTCGTTCACACAAGACTGCCACAGGATAGGGCACCACAGAGAACCCAGTTGACCATGAAAACCAGCATCCACACAGCACATACCAAGGCTTGCACCAGATGCCTCTTCAAAACCTGATACTGAAATACAGAACAGCATTGTCTTTCAGAAAGTATAGATAAGTAAGATAATGAAATGCAGAACAGGACTAGAAGAGAGAAGTTCATACAGCACTGTCTTTCAGAAAGTATGGAATGTTCCATAAATGTTTCAGCAGTCAAAGTTTTTAAATAATTGCATGCTGTGTCATGAGAGTTTGTGTAGTTGTTAGCACGTTACTCAGTCACTATAGAACACCCCACAGAACTTGTATTTCATGCTGTAGTTCATACAGGACTGTGCACTACAGACAGCCCTGTCATTCATATATAAAGGAAGCAGAGCCAGAGGTCACTCATAGCTACATAGCTGAAAAAGTCTTAACGAGATCGAATTCTTTTTCTTTTACAAGAAGCAAGCAAGCAAGAGGTCACTCATGCAAGTTATGAAAAGATGGAATAAATGCAGCAGTGAATACCAACATACATGCAGCTCACCAGATGCAGAAATTTAACTTGACAAGAGTAGTTTACCCAGCTGTCAAAGAATGAAAAGAACTAGTGTTTTGTTTTTTAAGTAAGTAAAAACAAAAAAAAGTAAAGGACCCTTTTCCACGTTTTATTGCATGTGTTTTTATATTGCATTTGTTGTTATATTGCATGTGTTGTTATATTGCATGTGTTGTTATATTGCATATGACGTACGAGGGGCGTACGAGAAGGATGTGTACTGTCACCTGATTTGTTTTCAATATACAGTGAATATATAATGAGCTTTAATTGGTATGCCCGGAATTGTGGTTGGTGGGTAGAATATAAACAATTTACGTTATGCTGATGACACAGTCTTGATTGCAACAAGTCATAAAGAACTACAGGAAATGATAGACATTGTGGTGTTAGATAGTGGAAGAATGGGCCTCAGTTTGAATAATGGGAAGACAGAAGTAATGGTGGTATCCTAAGTGTGTAATAAAAGTTGATGATGTTATTTTAGGACAAGTAAAGAAATTTAAGTATCTGGGCACATGGATAACATCAGATGGAAGATGCATAACTGAAATAAGAAACAGAATAGGACAGGCAAAAACTGCATTTTATAAAATGAAAAACATCTTGTGCAATATATCCTTGTCATTGAGAGTTAGAAAAAGAATTCTTGCTTGCTACATACATCCAGTTTTAACATATGGCTGTGAATCCTGGACAATCGGTAGGCAGGCCAAACAATTTCTGGAGGCCTCGGAGATGTGGTTTTACAGAAGAATGCTTAGAATACCTTGGACAGCCAAAAAGAGCAACCAAGAGGTTTTGAAAGAGGCGGGAGCTCGAAGACAACTTATCACAGACATCAGAAGGAGACCGTCATCATTTTTTGGCCATGTTATGAGAAGAGGGAAAATAGAACATGTTGTGACCACTGGAAAGATATGTGGAAGGAGAGATAGAGGAAGACAACGAGAGAAGATGCTTGACAGTCTTGTTGCATGGAGGTGTGTCGGCACACGAACTGATACATGCTGCAGGAGATCGCAGATTATGGAGAGGCTTGATCGCCCACACCAGTCAGCAAGGCACCTGGTGATGATGATGATAATGTTATATTGCATGTGTTGTTATACTGCATTTGTTGTTATACTGCATTTGTTGTTATATTGCATGTGTTGTTATATTGCCCGTGAGACATGATCAATAAGCAGACAAGATGAACAGCATCAACTGGCCCTAGAAATATGGTTTCTGAGAAGAATGCAAAGAATATCATGGAATGATCCAAAAATAAATGAGGCAGTCCTTCTTGAGACAGATGAAAACTGTAAACAGATTAGAACAATTCTATGTAGACTGCCAGTGTTTGTGTTGGACATGTTCCAAAATGGAATGGACTCAAAAACTTGGTTATCACTCTCAATATTGACGGAACAAAAGAAGCAGAAGAGATAAATACTATGATGGAATGATTAGGCTACGAATGGGGGTAAGACAAGAGCACAGACCTTATCTGTGGTTCATGTGATCATGTGAGACTATGAAATATGACTGCCTACATTTATCGACAGGGCACATGATTTTGATGGTATTTAACATGTTTTGAAAAAAGAATGAAGAACTGGATGTTAACTCTTTGAGTCCCAGGGGGTTTAGCATCATAGGCTTAAGGGGTAGTGAAGAGATACTAAAATCAAGGCATCTTGCATTAACAGGGCTTCTAGGAACCTAAGAACGTATAATGCGTTCCTTGGGACTCGAAGAGTAAATGGAAAATGTAGTATTTGTGTTAAATACAATGCAACCATAATAACAAAGTCACTGTTTTCACATTTAACCGATTCCTAAGAGTAATTTCTCTTAATAAATGAGTGGGAGCACATGTGAATATGTGTCTTGTGTGCTGCCTGAAATAGCATTCATGTAATAAAACATTGAAACTAAATAATATGTGCCTGTGTGTGTATTCGCATAGAGATTGTTTCATAATTAATATTCTCTCAATAGCTTTCTGGTTCTCAAAATCATCATCATCATGTGCCCTGCCAACTGGTGTAGGCGCTTATGCGTCTCCGGAGATCTCTATCCCTGGTTGCCCGGAACAGCTCACTTGATGATATCCCTCCATGCCATCGTTTCAGCTCATCCAGCATCATCTCTCTTGGTCTGCCTCTACCCCTTTTTCCACTAATCTTTCCAGTTGTCACAATGTTCTCCAATGTCTCTCTTCTCATTATGTGGCCAAAGAACAGTGTTTGTCTTTCTTTTTGTTGTATATAGAGATCTACTTTCATTAGCTTCTGTCAAGCAATCATTATTAGTTACTCTGGCGTCCAGGTATTCGTAACATTCGTCTCAGAAACCACATCTCTGTTGCTTGCAAATTCTTCCTAATTTGTTCACTGACATTCCAAGATTCTCTGCCATACTGCAGAACAGGTTCTCTGTAACATTTTAGCAACCTCTTTCTGGTTCTCAATAACTGATATAGATTTGTTCCCAATGTGGGTCACTGGGGGAGGAATAGATCCCCCTACTCCCTAATAAGCATGTTCTAAAACTGCAAGTAATTAGGGATTTGCTGAAATCAGATGTGTTGAGCAGAAAGGTGCAGTTTTCTGTAAACCTCAACATGTGCCAGCTGCCATGTGTGTATGTGTAAGAGAGAGAGAGAGAGAGAGAGAGAGAGAGAGAGAGACAGAGAGAGAGAGAGAGACACAGAAAGACAGAGAGAGACACAGACAGACAGAGAGAGACAGAGAGAGACAGAGAGAGAGAGGGGGGGGGGGAGAGCGAGACCAAGAGAGAAAATCATCACATAATTTTCATAATTAACTGTTTTTAAAAAAAAAACATACACACAACGGTTAACTCACCTTCAGTAGTAGCAGCTTCTGCACCATGCACAAATGCACACAATATCACAAAATAACCAAAGCTGAATACTGCCGCCATTTTGGCCTGTGACCTCTTCAGCACCAGACTAATCTAAAAACTGTGTGGAACCTGGCCCGGTTGGGACCTTCAAGTGTAGTTGAATGCACATGTACAACTGGCATACATGAATGTTTCTTTGTATATTTCAATAAACATTTCAAACCTGCACCATCTGGCAGGGGGAAAACAACAGCTTCCACATCAACACTAGCATTTTAGTTGTATAACTGTTCCGCTGTTTCTCTGATAAAATCCTAAATGAGGTAGGAAACAAAATCTATTAATGTCTATAACTAACAAATAGACAAGTTACAACACTGAAGAAAACGGACATATTGCTGGTAAGGCACTGAGCATACAATTTGATCTTTTTTAGGGCAGGGTAGGTTTTAGGTAGGCAAACATAGTAGTTTAGTTGACAGCTTTCTACAAGCATCTCACTTAACAGATGTGGAGATGTTAATTTTACATAGATGGGCCGTTGATAATGTCCAAATTTGGTATTGGTAGTTCGGTGTTGGTATGTGTACGCTGTTTATAATCTGTTTATTGGTGGTTATACTTTTATCTTGATGTCTTATTAATGGTGATAGCTGGTATTTTAACTCTTTGAGTCTCAAGGAACGCATCATACATTCATAGGTTCTTACATTGAGGCCCAATAAACGCATGATGTGACGATTTTACGTCTCTTTTGACTATCACTTGGGCCTCTGATGCTAAACCTTCTGGGTCTCAAAGAG